CGCGGCGTGGCTGCGCGCGAGGCCATTATGGCGGCGTCGAGCTTGTCCTCGTTGAGGTCGTGGAGGAACCTGCACCTGTTGCCGTTCTTGCAGAACCCCCTAGCGAGGTAGAGACAGGGGTGACGGAGGTAGCGGCGGTGTTGGAGGTTTCGAGTGAGGTTAGAGAGAGGGTGGAAGAGGAGATGAGTTTGTAGGAAGAGGAGTAGATCTAGAGAAGATCTGGAGAAGAAGAAGAGGGTAGTTTGGGAAGTTTTTGTCTTGGAAATTGTAAATGGGGCTGATTCACATGGTTTTTTCATTTTTGGGGAAAAAGCACATTAGAAAAAGTTCAAGGGGCTGGGACACATCACCAATTTAGTTTTGGGGCCTTGAAGCAATTTTTCCTATAAACTATTAATATATTTTAGTGAATGACCAAATATTTTTGGGGAAATAGAGATAAAAGTCTATGTCTCGTAAATTTCAAGGATCCTATGTTTTTATATAGAGGAATTTTCCTAAATAAAAGTATTTTTAATTTATAACTTCCAAAATTTTACAACATAAAAAAATCAATCCTTATTTTTACTATTATTAATAATTATAATTATGTGTAATAATTAATTAATTAATTTTACTACTTCAGATAGTTAATAATTCTTTATAGAAAACTATATATATTTATGAATTTTAAACATTATCAATTATTAATATATTGTAGTGAATGAACAAATATTTTGAGAAAATGAAGAGATGCATAGTTAATGAGAGGTTATGGATTGTTAATTTTATAAATAATGATATAATTGTGAGTTATAAAAAATTAAAAGGGTAAAAAAAGAAATTAAAAGTTTTAACATGGGTATTCTCTTTGATAAATAGTATAGATATAGAAGTATAGGTTCTCAAGTGTTGAGTTGTGTCTTTTAAAGAGCAACTAGAGTTGTTAAAGACAATTATGATCATTCGTATGACTGAATAGTCATAACGTGTATGTAGATGTAATAACGTTAAGTTGACACTGAATATTAACATTTTAATAGTGTAGATACTTTCCATGAATATTAATTGAACTATTTGCTTCGTTGTTGTAAAAAAAAAACAAATTGTGTCGAGGTCAATGGCGTAAGACTCTTAAATTGAATTGCAGCCCTTTGTTGAATGGAGCTAACTATAGCTAATTAATTATCAGCTTCATGGAAACCTATTATTATTATTATTATTATTATTATTATTATTATTATTATTATTATTATTCCATTTTGTAGACTTTGTGGCGTGTAACACGAGATATGGAGTTTAAATCATAAATAAACATGATAAACATGTTTCGTTGTTGATCAGAATATAAATATTATCTCTGAAGTGCTTGATGTCAGAGCTACCCTCCACGTGTAAATGGTTGGAGAGCTCGTGAAAAATGGATCTAATGTAGACATATAAAATAGCCTAAAAATATTTTTTATGAAAATAATACTCATAGACACTGTATTTGTAATCTTGGGTACTTTTTAACATCTAGTTCTTATGCACGTGCGATGCACATAGTTAAATATCAAATTTTTTATTTTTATTTGTTTATTTTCTTGCTATAAAATAAGTCAGATTCATCTTGAGTTAATCTTTAAACATGGATTATTACATTTGCCATAAATTTTATTTAAATATTTTTTAAAATTTTATGAAATAGATTTGTGTGTAAAATTAGGATCAATATACTTTTATATACTTTCATGCACAACATTATTTTTTTAAATTTGTATATATCAAACTTCATGTAACATATTTGTTTATCGGATCAAATCATCGATCTCCAATTTGTTTATCTTAGTCATTAAATATAGTGTTAAGTGTGTGTTAATAAAATATAACCAAATATATATTTAATATTAAGATGGTTTGTATAAGCTCCACACAGAGTACATACTTTTCACAATATTGCAAGACATATTAATTATTGATAGACTTAAAATAAAAAATAAATACTAAATATTACTGGTAATTCATGTATAATTTTATATGACAAAATCATTCACATAAGCATATTAAAAATTTTGCATAAAAATTCCTTCTGAAGACTCCTAATTTTACTCAAAAATTAAGTTTTACTATAAAATATTCAAAAAATATTATCCTTTGTTCCTTAATTGAGCCGAGATCAATCATTCTCCACCTTTATCTTTTTCTTGAGTAATTCTACAATATTGTATTCATCGTCTATATCAATTGTGATATCAGGTTAGTATATAATAAAGAGCAAAAGACAAGACAATAGTCCAGAAATATATTAGAATATACTTAGATCAATCAAATTATATTATTACTCATAATTGATATGCATTATAGATAAAATGTGTTGACAATTTTAAACTATAAAACAGACTGCATGGGCCCTCTAACAGAACTTCTTTAATGCAAGCAACTCTCAAGATTAATTTTGAAAATCTCTTGGGGTCAGGAATAAACAACTAACAAGTTTGTAGTAAAAGCTAGGAGAACGCAGTATATTCTTAAGAATTATTAATCTTTACTTAATTTGTTTATAATGATAATATCTTATTATTAACTAACTACAAGGCATAATATATTATTTTTTATTCGATGTTCAAGGCAGGCAGAGGGCACAAGTGAGTCCTCATCATAATAAATTCTATACAATTTAGGTAAAAAAGAAAAAAAGAGGATTGATCAATGATGTAGTTAGTGAGGGGGAAACTCCAACAGCTTAATTTGGGTATGTGGATATATTATAGATGGAGATGGAGAAGTGTGGTTTTGAAAACAGTGAGTGCGTGGGGTAATTAATATGGTTTTTGTTTGTGTGGTTTTCTTTGTTCATTTTCAAGATATATATAGTCCTGTGGATATATATAGCTATAGCATTGTTATTCTCTTTTGGATTTGTGGAAGAGTTTGGATGGAAAAAAAATCATCTAATCCGGTTAAAGTAGGATCATATAAGTTAAGCTCATGCATGAAATTTATTTTAACCAACACTAATATGTAAGTATTATTGGCATTAAGATCTAAAATATGTGTGAGATTCTCTACGACTTTTATACAAATAGTATCTATTTAAATAATAATAGTATAATTAAACTTTGTGATCTAAAAAAAGATCAAATATACAATATAATTAATTACTTTAAAATAACCTGATCTAATCTAATAAAAAGAAAATAGATAAAAATTATGTAAAAATTATTATAATTTTATAATTCATAATTTTTAAACAATCTAATCTAATAATCTAATCTAATAAAAAGAAAATAATAAAGGCTCATACCTATTGAAGGAGATGAAAGTGTTATGAAAAATTGTTACAATTTCTGATATAAAAAAAGATCAAACATATGATGTAATTAATTACTTTAAAATAATCTAATCTAATCTAATAAGAAGAAAATAGATGAACATGTTGTGAAAATTATTGTTTATTTCTTAATATGAAAAAGATAAAATACGCAATATAATTAATTATTTTAAAATAATCTAATCTAATCTAATAAAAAGAAAATAACAAAGTCACATATCTATAGAAGGAGATGAAAGTGCTATGAAAATTATTGTAATTTCTTAGCTTATATATATTTGCATGTGATGTTGTATGTGAGAGAATAACAATTGTAAATAGAGTTCTATTTAAATAATAATAATATAATTAAACTTTAAAACCAGTTATCCAGTACCATGAACTACTTAAAGTTTAGTCGTTGAGAGATTGTCATGTTGTGTCCTCAGATCGCAACCATTTATTTTAATTTTTCTTTTTTATAACTTTGAGAACGACTATTGTCTCTTTAATTTGTTTGGTAGATTTTGTAAATATCCCATCCATATTATGTACATTTGTAGGTCTACGTTGTTCTTAAGTTCGACCTTTGGAGCAGACATTATTTGTCTCGTTGATTTGTTTGGTTTTGCATATACGCCCTTCATCTTGTATACATTTGTAAAGTTAACATTTAATAATTTTATTCAGGTTTACATTTCAATTTAAACTATATCCCTATCTTCATACTATGTATATCCAATAAGAATTCATCATTTTATCAACTTATTCTTACTTAATGGATTAATATTTAAATTTTATGGGTATTTTTGTCTACCGAAAGATTTTTCCGAACTTGTGCTTTTAAAGGGAGTATGATATGATTTTTATAATTTCTAAAAGGGCCCCACCGTCCCCAAAAAATCACCTTAAAATGTGACAATTATATAGAAACCTACTTTTAATTTTACTTTATGCATAAATTATTTTTAAAGTGAGTTCTTGCTACAACTGATCATCTCTTAGTCAAAATTCTCACTAAAAACTTAAAAATACCTTTAAAAACTCACATTCAAAGTACTTATCTCATTAGGTTACAACTCACGTACTTTGAACTTAAATTTTTTAAGCTTTTTTTGAGGTTTTCTAGTAAAAGTTTGACTGAAATGTGTGGTAATTAAAACAAAAACCTACTTCAAACATGTTATATATATAAATTGAATTGAAATATGATTTCTATATAATTGGCATATTTTTCTTAGGTTGGGGGGACTGGAGAAACAACAAACATTAGAAGAAAAGTTTAGTTAAAAACTAAAACTCTTTCTATATTATAAATCTCTAATAAATCACTTTCACAAGTCTATATTATACATGTACGCCATATCACCGCGATGTATCACGTTCACATCGGCTACCATCAGGCCCCACCTACCCGGTATGTGGGTCCCATCCTGTGTCAGCGAACATCAACTTCTAGCGGGGAGTGGGGCCATGGGCGTCGCCCTCGTGAGTATCTGACGTCACCATCCCTCGCCGGCCCCATTGCTTGCTCAAAGGTCGCATAAAACCGAATCCCAACTTCGAAAAACAGTTTATACCCAAAATACCCTCACTCTAATCCTCAAATCACGCACCACTCCGTAACACAAGAAACCCACAACTTCCTATTTCCGCGAAAAGGCTAATTTCGTAATTCCCTTTCGCACTCCGTATCATCCCTGACCTCTGGCTCTCGCCCAATAAATAGTCGCCACTTTCTCCCCATTTTCTCTGCACAGAGGGAAGGCGGCCTTCTCGGTGACTAGGGCACGCTACCAATTTCTCCTCTCGCTTTGGAATCTCCGCCCATCTATTTCTCTCGATTCCTCAGGTGAGCAATTTTTGCTCAGATTAATGTCTATTAGATTCCTGGTTCCTTGATCTTGATTTTAGATGATCCAGTTTGTTGTAGTGAGAAATTAATTTATTGATTCAATTGTTGATGCACGATATCTTGATGGATTAGATCTGGCAATTAAATAATTAGCAGAATGGACATAATTGAAAATAATTCATTTTGTTCTTGCAGCTTAAACATGTGTCCTTGGAAAATTAACTAAGAATTTAGCATTATTTAAATATTTTGGATTGCTTGATTGTTTGAGATATAGTTGAAATGCACTGAATAATTTTGGCATTTTTGTTAAGAAGATCAGTCTTCCGGTTAGTCATTGTCTCAAGTATGGAGCCATTGATTTTAATATTTTAAGTTAAATTATCAGTTGTATTCCGCTACCTAAACTTAATCAACCATGGTCATACATACACCCTTGCCCAAATCCATAACCGATTCGTTCTTAAACATCTTGAACTGTACCCAAACCAAAAACTTCCCTTTTCATCCCGTGGAGATGGAGAGAGAGAGGGTTGGAGGTGGGTTTAGATGGGTTGGTTACTTGGTTGTCGAAGGGTAGAAAAGTTATTTACTACCTCGGGATTATGAACCTACCACTACGGTTAGTACAATTATATTATATATATATATATATTAATATATTAATATATATATATATATATATATATATATATATATAAGTAATGAGAGAGTAGAGAGAATACATATATAAGAGAAATTGTATGCTTGGTAGCCAAGCAAAAAATATGGTGCTTGGTAGTGCAGGTGTCACATTCTCTTCCACTCATTGAAATCGGGCCCCACACTCACATGGGTGGGGAGTGTTTGGGAATGACAATGAGTGGATGAGAATGAAACAACCTCACTACCAAACATCAAATTTGTGCTTGGTACCAAGCATACATGATTTTTCTCATTATATATATATATATATATATATTATATACATATATATATATATATACAGTGTTGTAAAAAACGGCCTGGGCGGCCGCCTAGCGGAGGTGGTGCCCAGGCCGTGCAAAAGAGCCCTTGGAGCGGCCACATTTAGGCGCTGGGAGTGCCTAGGCGGGCCGCCAGGGCCTAAGCGGGGCACAATAAAAAAAAAAACGTTAGGGCTCTGTTCAAACCCTCACCCGAAACCCACTCACCCAAACCCGTAACCCACATAAAGCCTCCTAAACCCTAATCGTACTCACCAGACGCCGCCAGAAGTCCCAGATCTCGAGCTCGTCTTCGATCCTGCTGGGAGCTCTCGTCTTTGAGCTTGGGAGCTCGTCGTCGAACTTGGGAGTTCGAGCTCAAGTTCTGAGCTCGTCTTCTTCAACTTGGGAGCTCTTCTTCGAGCTCAAGTTCTGAGCTCGTCTTCTTCAACTTGGGAGCTCTTCTTCAAGCTCAAGTTCTGAGATCGACTTCAAGCTGGGAGCTCCGAGCTCGTTGTTCTCATCTCCAGCTTCTCTCTCGTCCTCGTTCTCAACTTTGGAGCTCAACTTAGGAGGTCGTCTTCACCGTGGGATCTCGTCTTCGAGCTCAACTTCGGAGGTCGTCTTCACCGTGGGATCTCGTCTTCGAGCTCGTCGTTCTCATCTCCAGCCTCTCTCTCGTCCTCGTTCTCAGATTTTTGTCCTCTGTAAGTAAAAAATTTCTTTAGATTTGGTTCCCTTAGATTTTCTTTCGATAGAAGCTTGGAAAAATATCGTTCTCATCTCCAGTCGTTCATTCTACAGTAAAATTATTATGATTTTCTTTCGATAGAAGCTTGGAAAATTGCAGTAAACTAAACTAAAGACTAAAGTATTTATGATTTTGGACAATTGGACTTGTGGGGAGTTTTCCTTCTTGTGGATTTAGGAAAGAAAAAAATGCTGTGGATTTAGGAAAGAAAAAATGTAACATATTTATTTATCTTCAAGTATCGCAATTAAAAATAGAAAAAAAAACACCTAAAAAACCTTTTAGAATTTAGAATACTATAAATTATATATTATAATATTATATAATATTTTAATAACATATATTATTATAATATTATATAATATTTTGGGATTTGGAATACTACAGCATGAACAGTGATTATTGGGTCCTCCTATATATATTATATATTATATATATAATATTATATATATATATATTATTGTAATTTAAATATTTGAGAAACTAAAATAAAAAATATTACAGATTTCATGGATGTATATCTAAAAACCTTTTTTTTTCAGTTTAATATATTTTCAACAAGTGTCTAGAAATATGCATGAGAAAGATGATGTTTATGGTGCTATATTTTCTTTCAACTGTGACTTGTATCAGCTACATGCAACTTGTCTTGTCTACTCAGGAGCTAGCCTAGTACTATTTAAGAGATTTAACAATAAAATTTTTGATGATGAAGTGATAGTCAGATTGACATTTTGAGTTTTAGTCTACTCCAACCAGATTCATTTAGGGGCTGTTTGGTTGGCTAAAAAAAAAAGAAAATCAAAGAAAAGGAAACATATTTCCTATAATAGATTTTTTGTGTGTGTTTGGTTCACTTCTTAAAAGTAAGAAAGGAGATGGGATGAGTGAGTTGTTACCATATTATTGGATGATGTGGGTGATTTTTTAAGAAACAAATTTCATGACTTGTTTTGAGATTGTTTGCTTGGCTAAAAAAACAAGAAAATCAATTATAAGAAATCTATTTTCTATAATAAGTTCTATTTTTGTGTTTGGTTCATTCTTAAAACTAAGAAAAGAGATGAGATGAGATGAGTTGTCATTATATTATTGGATGATGTGACTCATATTTAGGAAAACTCATTTCATGATTTTTTTTAGGAAATAGATGAAAATCAAATGTTAATGAGATGAGATGAGTTGTCACCATATTATTGGATGATGTGACTCATTTTTAAAGATGAGATGAATGATGTGACCCATTTCTTATGTTTGGTTTGTTCTTAAAAATAAAAAAGGAGATGAGATGAGATGAGTTGTCACCAAATTATTGGATAACGTGGGTGATTTTTAAGGATTAAAATGGATGAAAATCAACTTTTAATGGTTTCTGGGGTCCTATTTCCTTTTCTTTGATTTTAGGAAACCAACCAAACAGCCCCTTGTATACGTAAAAGTTTGGCTATAACATTACTTTTAGAAAATTGGGCAATGGTCTAAATATTTGTTTTAGTTATAAAAGGTTAGATCAGTGTTGTGAACGAGGTCAAAGTTGATGAAATCATGCTATTCATTATTTTGTTTTCTGGAGCTATTTTTTCCAAATTGTAAGAGCTTTCAAAACATATGTCTCATCTTGTGTCTCATAGCCATGAACTAGCTGTTTCCAAGTGTAATTGTAATCCCTCAATCTTAGGTGAATTAAATTGAGGTTTGTCTTTTCCCCTTCTATTCTTTTGAATAGAGATGTTATCAGGAACTTGTGTTTTACTACCTAATTTTTCTTCCATTTCTCAGGTTCTCTTTCTTCTTTTCTTTTAAGCATATAAGCTTTATTCTATGAAGTTTTGGGAGAAGGTAATTGAGCAAAGACTAAGAAAAGAGACAAGTATATCTGAAAATTTATTTGGTTTTATGTTTGGGAGGTCAACTACGGAACCTATACATATTTTGAGATGGTTGATAGAGAGATATAGAGAGAAGAAAAAGGATATACATATGATTTTATCGATCTAGAAAAAGCTTATGATAGAGTGCCTAGAGAGGTAATGTGGTGGGTGCTAGAAAAAAAAATATGTATCCAAAAGATATGTATGATAGAGTAACAACTAGAGTAATAACTAATGAATGAGAAACTAAACCATTTTCTATTATCATAGGTTTACATCAAGGGACTTTATCTTTTTGCATTAGTTATGGAGCAACTTATTAAGCACATTCAGGATGAAATTCCATGGTGCATGTTATTTACCGATGATATAGTATTAGTTAATGAAACTAGAAGAGATATTATTTATAAAGTAGAAAGATAGAGACAAACTCTTGAATCTAAATTTTTTAAAATTAGTAGAATTAAAATAGAATATATGGAGTTCGTTTTTAGTAAAACTAAGAAAGGAAGAGAGCCTATGGTACATTTTGATGACAAAAAAATACCTAAAACTAATCATTTTCGTTATTTAGGATCAATCATTAGGCATGATGTTGAGATAGAGGATGATGTTGTGCATCGAATCAAATCGGAATTGTTGAAATGGAAGAGTACTTCGAGAGCCTTATGTGATCGTAGAATATCAATAAAACTAAAAGGAAAATTCTACAGAACGGTTATAAGACCAACTATGCTTCATGGGTCAGAGTGTTGGGCAATTAAAAAAATAATATGTTCAAAAAATGAGTGTAGCAGAAATGATGGTCTTGTGGGTATATATTAAAAAATAGGATAAGAAATGAGTGCATATGTAGTAAATTAGAGGTTGCGCCTATTGAGGATAAAATGAGAGAATTGATTAAGATTGTTTGATCATGTACAACGGAGACCTATTAGTGCACCGATTAGGAAAAACGATAATATTATAGTTAATGGGGTTAGGAGATCTAGAGATAAACCTAGAATGACTTGGTTAGAATCAATTAATAAAGATATGATTAAGACTAATTTAACGGAGGAGATGACTCATAACAGAATGGAATGAAAAAATAGGATTTATGTAGCCGACCCCAAACACTTGGGATAAAGGCTTGGTGGTGGTGGTGGTTGTTGTATATAAGCTTTATTCTAGCTTTTGTTATGTTAATATCGAGAAGTTTTACCCTGTAGTGCATGTCATAGTGCATGTCAGATGGCAAGCAGTGACTTTTTTTGCAAATGATAATACAACTTATTTCTCCATGGTATAGCCACATAATTCAGCAATATAATGCAAATCTTTTCCTGTCATACTATTAACTGGTTCTCTCCAATTTGTGCTATAGAGTGACTACGACAAATACATAGAATTAGTTATTATTAACCTATTGGTGTGAGTATCAAACATTCTACATGAGTTGCTTAGATGACCCTACATATGTCCTGTTCCCCGTTAAATTTTACTGATTTCAACCTGTTTTCAATGAAAGATGTTGCACGGGCCTGAAGGTGAGAAGGTCCTGCCATTTGGCTGTGCCGCTGTGGTGAATCCTTCTTCCTCTCTTGGTGAAGCAGTTCCATAATCTCTTCTCCATAGGTCACCCTGTTTCCTTCCAGCATGGAATGAGATTTTTTTTTCTACAGTAGAAAAAAAGTAATTTATCTAGAACAAATTAGAAGCAAAGTGGTGCCTAGCAATTGAGAGCATCTATTGTCTTTTTAAAATAATTGCATGGTATTGGACTACAATTTCCGCATCAAGACAACCATAGAGTAGTTTCTGAAGGTACTAAATACTACTACTGCTTACCTTGCTATGAGTCCTACCTTCAACTTATTGTAGATCAATTTACCGTACTACAGTAGCTCTTTTCAGGGAACTATAATTGCATTTAGGATAAATTTAATTAATAGGCTATTGGGATGTATAATAAAAAATGCATGTAACTAATTGTTTGATTTAAAATATTTCAACAACATGTCAAGGGGGTCTCCTGGTTGGGGACATTGAGGACTACGTTGATGAGGAGGTCCAGGTTCACCACTTCAGGCTTTAACGTGTGTTTCATTTTTCTCCCCCTTTTACTTTTCTATTCCATTAGAAAACTGATCAGACACCTTTTATTGTATATGAACTGCCCCTATTCTGGAATGTCCAAGAACCATTAATCATTTGAATTTGAAAATGGGTTAAATGGGCTTGGTTATCTTTGCTATTGTTCTCTTCAGATGCTTTTGATGTACTATGATTATATGTTGGGAGGAAATCCCTTCAGATTGTGACACGGTCAAAAACAACTAGCATGAAATATTATATCTTCTATAGTTTGAGCAAAGAATTTCTCATAAATCTGCAAAGAGTAAATTTGATCTTTTCCTGGGATCAAAATGACCATACTGTCCCTTTGGCAGAAACGTAGACCATCTTAGAGCATGTTTGGCTACTAATTTTTTGAATACTTATAAGTTACTTATTACTTATCCTCGTAACTCTTTATGAGTGTCAGAAAATAAGGAAGCTGTTTGGTAAACCCTCACATATAATTAGTTATGTGTTTGGTAAATCAATAACTTATAAGGTTGTGTTAAATATTAAATGACCAAAAATGACTTATCGTTGTAACTCCACTTTATGACTAATTAATTCATTTTATATTAACTAGATAATTAATAATATTAAATTTATTAATTATTTTAAAAAAGTAATTAATTTAAAATTAATTATGATTAATTAAATAATTTCAGTAATTAAATATTGTTATTAATGAAATCAATTAATTTATTAATTAAACTTTAGTTATCTCATAATAAGAAATATATTTGATTAAAATATTTTTAAATATTACATTATTTGTGATTATTAATTACTAATATTGAGGTTAACTAATTAAATTCTTATTAGTAAAATTTTATTATTAATAAAATAACTAATTAATTAAAAATTAGTTAAAATAACTAATTAATTAAAAATTAGTTATCTCATAATAATAAATATATTTGATTAAAATATTTTTATATATTACATTATTTGTGATTATTAATTACTAATATTGTGATTAATTAATTAATTACATATTAATTAAATAATTAAATAATATGTAAAAAGTAGTTATCTCATAGTAAGAAATATATTTTATTAATAATTTTCAATATTTCATTATTTGTGATTATTAATTAGTAATATTGAGATTAATTAATTTCATATTAATAAAATAATAATTTACTAATAAATTAATAACTAATTAATATAATAAGAAAATATTCAGCTAAGTAAAGGGAGCAGGACGGTATTAGAGGTGTTAACAACTAATTGAACCAAACAAATTATTAAAAATTGAACTCACTATAATCTCCAGGATTATTACATCCTAGGACTATAATGAAATAAATTAGTCCCGGGATAAAACAAGTCCCTAATCCAAACGTGGCCTTAGCACCTCTTTACGTCGATTTCACGCTATACAACTTTATGCAGATATACATTAGACAATACTCGCGTGCAAGTAAAGTAATTACAATTATGAAAGATTTTATGCAGAAATACTTCTAACTTCTGTCAAAAAACATTGCTTGTACTCAACAGGTATAAAATGTCGACCGCTACCCTCCCAACTTCCTTTTCCGTCAAATGCATCAGCAAAAACCAACACCCATTCTCTTCCTTCCTCAAAGCCCCAACATCCCTAACCTTCTCAAAGAGCACATTGAAATCCTTCGGTCTCAAATCCTCGAATTCCTTCAAGACAACCGCAATGGCAATTTACAAAGTAAAACTCATCGACCCTGAAGGTAACGAGCATGAGTTTGAAGCACCAGATGATGCCTACATTCTTGACTCAGCTGAGACTGCAGGAATCGAGCTTCCATACTCTTGCAGAGCCGGAGCTTGCTCGACCTGTGCGGGACTGAAGGTTTCGGGTTCAGTTGATCAGTCTGATGGTTCATTTCTTGATGATGAGCAGATGGAGAAGGGATATGTGCTTACTTGTGTCTCATATCCCACTTCGGATTGTGTGATTCATACTCACAAGGAAAGTGAGCTTTACTAGTTTGATGTTTGTCTTGGAGATACTTGAAAGTTAAAACTCTCTGAGTTCGTGTGTAGGTGTATGGTAGTTTGCTATCTAGGAGTCAGTTGCTTTTTTTTCTCTATAGCGAGTGCTATTAGGTTTTGCCTGTTCTGATCTATTTGATGAATCATTGTGGGGGCATGGTTTTGTAACGAAGGCTGGATTGTTGTCTCTTCAATAATTTGCAAACACCAGGAATTTCACTAGGATGTGGTAAACCCTATTTTACTGTGTTGGATCATTGATATAGAGAACATATATGGTAACTGTTTGAGCCTTAACATGATTTAATGACTGGTATCAGGAGGGGGATGCTGTATATCAGAGAGAGTAAACAGATGCCCAAAAAGCAAACTATGAGGAGTATTGCTCTCTTTCCTTCTAAAATTGTTTACGTTTCAGTATCTTCTAGTATGTTGTGATTGTACTGGTGGCCTTTGAAATTTATGCGTCTATGCAGATAACCTTAAAGTGGTGGACTGAGGTTACATTGGTAACCCTAATAAAAGTAATCTTAGGGTTGCTCGATGCTGCCTATGTAATCTCAGTTCGTGTAGACACATATAAAGGTAGAAATTTGTGATCTTGTCCTTAAGCAGTCTTTCTGCTTGCCATGCTGAACATCATCGTGTACAAATAATAAAGCTGCAATCTTAAGGGTCTTTTGGCCATCTCTTCTCCCTCAATGGGGGTGATTTGCTGCCCTAGCCCCTAATCCTCACCTTGCTGGGTGGCCAGAG